TAGTATTGAATGAATCATAATTATGTAAATTTAAAATTTAATTTTTATACAGGTGTCATGAATTCAACGTGTTAACAGTATATATATGACTTATTCTTTATTTTATATACTACTGATTCACAATGTAGAATTAGATTGTTTGTGGGATGATAAATGAACCCTTTTAGCATTATCTTGACCAAGTCAAATTCTATGTTAAAAGATGGTTTTCCATCAATCATGTATTAACTTCACATATAGTTTATCAAAAGCAAAACTAGTATAGTGTCACCATTACACAGACTAAGACGTATTCTTTTTGCCAATGAAAGTGAAGGACGAGAAGACTTTTTGTTGTTTTTGTTAGTAATGGTTGGGACTAGTAGTAGTATACTTTTAGTAAGTAAAATCAGTTGTCAAGTATCATGCGTTCCCAAATGTTAATGTCATGATTGGTCAAATTTTAAACCTTGAAAAAATATTTAACATCATATGTAAGTTTCAAGTAGTATTTAGTTATTCATCTATAGACGTCGAAACGATTGCACTGTCAACTATTCCTGTTATTAATTCATCAATAGTCAAGTCTCACCTCTATTTTCACACACACACACATTTTATATACATATATATATATATATATGTCTCATATTTTTAAAATATTTTTTTTAAAAAGTAAAGGGTAAGGGAGAAGGAAAGGAAAAGGTCCACATTTTCATTTTGGTAACAAGGACGGCTTAGCTTCGTTTGAATTAACTGTTTCTAGGGATGTTTTTAAAAAATTTTACTGCAACAGTGTATATGAAAAATTTTTACTATAAAATTTTTTTGAAATATTTGATATATTGTATGAATGAAATATTTTTTAAATTATTATATATTACTATTGCATTGTACTTGAAGAAAAACTTGTTTTTGAAAAAATGGCTAATCTAAACCGAGCTGGAGCTCTAATTGAAGATGCAACAGCAACTACGAAGCTACACTAGAAAATGGACTATTTCAATACCGGGTTTAATTGGACCTTATAAATTAAAATAAAATTGTAGTATTAAACAAATGACTGTGAAGTCGTTGCTTGGCTCGAGGGTTATGATGACTGGCGAGTGACGACTTTGACTATCCAGCTATAATAGGTAAGTTCTAACCTTATAAGCCGCCAATAATCCCGGCTTTGCTCCTTGGAAAAAGTACACTATTAAGAGAGAGAAAGAGAATGTTCATGCATGTTTACATGTTCTTTATAGTTGACATGTTTCATGGGCTGCTTTTGTAGCTTTGCTGGCTTTTGTTTCTCCATGTGAGCGTCTGTATAGGTTTGGTAGATTTTGTTGATTGAAAAGCTCACAAACTTCAAACTTCCCGTTCCACGTCGAAAGATCATGGAATAGTTACTCTGGATTTAAAGTCCACAGATGCCCTGTTCAATTACCAATTGGCTGAACAGAGTTGCTTTGTGATTTCCCCTTAGATTGTCCTTTGGACCGTTCTTTGGTGACTCCCTGAATGTTAATCTAACTGTGTGCGTGTGTTCTTGACGTCTTGAGAGAAAAAAAAAAAAAAAAAGCTCACAAACTTCAAACCCATTAATCTAATTAAAATATACTTATAAAACGTTTTTATACCTTTAGTAATGAGCATATAGACTAAAGTCCTTCACATGATTTAATATGCTGGTTAAAATTTTCTAATGTACCAATGTAAGCCATTTGAAATACTCCTCTTTTTTTTGTTTTTGTTTAAAGTGATGGTTGAATCTAGGAATGAAATCCGTTCAAAGGGAGGCGTTTATAGTCGATTGAATTGCTATTTTTTAGACTTTTTATATATAAAAAAAATGTAATATAACGATTTGATGTATGTGAAATAAAAAAGTGATTGTAAAATGTGTTTGCTAAGAACGTAAAAATTTCTTAAAGAAAAATTGCATTTCGAACCACACGGAGCACTATGATATTAAAAGAATCCAATATGCATATATTGATAAACATACATAAAGAATCCAAAATTCTCAAGATATTATTTAGAGAGGAAACAAGGAAGGGGACATCCAAATTCCCATCAACATGCAATTAATTGAATTTGGAATTCGTCAAACTAGTTTGGGATTAGCATTGGTGGACATTATAGTAAGGGACATTTGACTTTGGAGCTTGGAATAATAATAATGTATGCTAGTACTAGTAGTAGTATTTTAGTAAAGCCATTAGGTGAGCACTTCTTGAAGTCATGCTTCCCATATTGGCACGTCGCCTCCATCGACGTCCCTCTCATTTACTTGTTCTTCGTACCCCCCCAAAAAAAAAAAAAATACTACGATAAAATAAGATAAAATGAAGAGCCCACATCTCCTAATACTATTTACTACTAATTTTGAATTAGTATGAAAAAATTACACCAGTTCTTGACAAAAATTTACTGATCTTGCTCTTTTGTGGTCTTAGAAATTTCTTTCATTTAGATACCCAAAAAAATATGTTGATTTAACTTAGCCTCTTGCTTTCTTTTTAATTCGGTAATGCAGCTGGGAAATTGCCCAAGAACAATGGTATACCTTGGAGAGGAAATTCAGGATTGTCTGATGGATCAAAATTGACTGAAGTTAAAGGAGGATTGGTGGGAGGATACTATGATGCTGGAGATAACATAAAGTTCCATTTTCCCATGTCATTTGCCATGACCATGTTAAGTTGGAGTGCTATTGAGTATGAACAAAAATATAGAGCAATTGGAGAGTATGATCATATCAGGGACCTTATCAAATGGGGCACTGATTACTTGCTCCTCACCTTCAACTCCACTGCAACTAGAATTGACAAAATCTACAGTCAGGTAATTAACTACTACCCCTCATCAAATCAAGAACTTATAGATTTATTGGATTAGTTACTTGGGACTGCAAATTAATTCAGTTGGGAACTAACTCAAAATTATCCTTTTGATGGCAAGGTGGGTGGGGCAAGATTGAATTCCACCACACCAGATGACCATTACTGTTGGGAGAGGCCAGAAGACATGGATTATACTCGAGATGTACAAATGGCAACTGGAGCTCCAGATCTTGGTTCTGAAATGGCAGCAGCATTAGCAGCAGCATCCATAGTTTTTCGCGACGACAATCTTTACTCCAGAAAGCTTGTTCAAGGTGCCACAACAGTGTTTAACTTTGCCAGGAGGTTTGGAGGAAGGGTTCCATATAGTCGAGGCAATCCTGTTATTGAGCCATTCTACAACTCCACCGGATTCTGGGATGATTACATGTGGGGTGCAGCCTGGATGTACTATGCTACAGGGAACCGTAGCTACATCTCATTTGCAACAGACTCGCGCTTGTCTAAGCATGTAAAAGCAGCCTTGATGATTCCAGATTTAAGTGTATTCAGTTGGGACAACAAGTTACCTGGTGCTATGCTGCTCCTGACCAGAATGAGAATGTTCTTGAACCCGGGCTATCCGTACGAGGAAATGCTGGGGAGCTATCACAACTTGACTGGTCTCACCATGTGTTCTTATCTTCAAACGTTCCATGTATTTAACTGGACTAAAGGTATTCTGAACTTTTTATTAGCCAGCTTCAGTTCTCTCATCTTCCCAATTCTCTCATCTTCCCAACTATCCCATCGGTGACAATATTTTTTCCTGTAAAATATATAGGGGGAATGATTCAGCTAAATCATGGGAGAGGACAGCCTCTGCAATATGTGGCCAACGCCGCCTTCTTGGCATCTGTTTTTGCTGATTATATGAATGCCACTAATGTTCCAGGGTGGTATTGTGGCTCTTCCTTCATGTCTCAGGATGTAATCCGCGAATTTGCTGCTTCTCAGGTTTGTTCATCCACCTATCTGTATTTGTTTCTATATTTCTCCTCACAACATCTGCATAACAAATGCTTAAAAATAGAAACAAATGATGCAAAAGATGAGTGATTATCTTTAATACGAGAAGAACTATCAGGCTAGCTAGCAACAATTTGCTGCAAAAGCCTTCTAAATTTCAAAGCTGAACGTTATTGCTATAATCTATGCTATCGAGCTCTCCTACCAGAGAATGATCAAGGCGTTCATAACACTTCTTTTTTTGGTTTTCCTTGCAAATACAGATGGACTACATTCTCGGCAAAAACCCCCTAAATATGAGCTATGTGGTTGGATATGGCAAGAAGTTCCCCAAACATGTACACCATCGTGGTGCATCAATACCACATGACAATGTAAAAACTTCATGTACCGGCGGATGGAAGTGGCGTGACAGCCGGAATCCAAATCCCAACACCATTACGGGTGCCATGGTTGGAGGGCCGGATAAGTTTGACAAGTTCCAGGATGTGCGTAAGAGCTACAGCTACACAGAGCCCACACTTGCAGGAAATGCAGGCTTAGTTGCTGCATTGGTGTCCCTGACAAGCACTGCTGGGAATGGAGTCGACAAAAACACAATTTTCTCCGCAGTTCCACCACTTTATCCAGCTACCCCACCACCACCCCCACCATGGAGGCCCTAAAAGATTAATGGAAACAGATGTTCTGCGTCACCTCAAATTTTCTTTTACTTGATAATGTCTTGGTTACTTATTGTACAAAAACGTTATGATACATCTGATACAATCATTTGACCGAGAACTTGCAGTGAACAAGAGCACAATAAACTGATTAAAGCTACCAGCATAAGTTTACTGCAATTGAGTAAATATGTTATTCAATGCTTACAGAGTCTGCTTCCTCCCCTCCCTCTCCCCACCGGGGAGGAAGAGAGACTTAGACCGAGCTTGGTACATTGACTCACAGATGATGATCAATGTACTATAACAACAAAATTCAGTTTAAGTGCCCACTTCGCTTAGTGATTCCACATTGCATTGTTTCGGTAGCTTTCGTACTGGACAGTGCATTGTAAACCAGAACATTCTTACAAGAGTAGATTAAGTTTGAGGGAATCAAGATAGAATTGAGCAGCGATGATTTGATACTTCTAACTGGATGTTTGTATCCTACTCTATTATGCCAACATCAAAATCGAACTAGCTGAAATCAACCGTAGTTGAAGCCATTATATTTTTATTCCAGGAATCCTTACAAATTAAAAGAATGGACCTGAAAAGATTACCAATTGAGGTTCATTTTCAACACTTTCCAAGGAATAAAATGTTGAGTGCTGCCTCATGCATTCAGATCTCACTTCCACGTACAGAATTCCCTATGCAATTACCATCAATTGGAAAATTTTAGCAGACTATTGCTTGTAGCAAGAACCTGGCTCTACAGGTGCCACGCGACCAGGTCCAGCCAATGGAGCAGCTGCAACTCCCCTTTGGTTCAACAGACACCTAAAATTTGCTAATCTTGCAGTAACTTCGCTTGAGTTCTTGGCTAAGTTGTCATAAGGTGTCCATAGTCTCTCTTCATTAGGAGGTAAGACAAAAGGTTAATGACAAAATATCAGCAAGATTTCCAAGATAGTGCCTTGTTATAAACTATGAGATTACCTGCTGCAGCTGCTGCTCGTGGCCATATAGTTTGTTCAATGTCTGACCCATCAATATGTTCTCCCCACAGGCATACTTCTCCCCCTATAACCAAAGCTTGTTCCTCAGGCTTTGTTATATTTGTAAGGGGCTCGTTTGAATAGAAACCTTCCCATGTTGCATCCAGATGGTCCAAGTACCACTTGTCCTGGTTACTAACAATGCACCGCAAACCAGCTGCCACTACTTTCTGAGCAACCCCGCCCCCAAGCCTGTCACAGAATTTGATTATGTCCACTTAAGTGAATCAAATTAATTGGTTAATGCTAGCACCTATTCTGCTCTTCTTGATTCTTCAATAGTTTTACAGGTGTAAGAAAAAAATAGGCAATTGAATGTGAAAATGATGGTTGATTCTTACCAGTTGTGTACCACCGTTTTTGGGTTCAACTTACTACCAAAATTGTTGAAGGTCTCTTCCCTGTAATTTCAAGTAAATTTAGACTGGATTGGACTCATCGGTAAAAGCTTTTCTTTAGTAGATGAGTTCATACCAGTTTATGATTTCATAACCATGGGATAGAGCTATTTGCTGTGCTTTCAAGACAAAATACTGGTAAGCTCCAGATTCATTAAGGCCTCGCTTTTTTAACCTGTCAACTCAGAGATAATTGTAATGTTCATGAGATGAATTGATCTCTATCAATAGTTTGTCAACTGAAACAACAAATGAGAGAGCTCAATCTTCTTGACAAGAAATATATAAATGCACAGTACAAAGCTGAAACTCTGTCACATCATCTGCCCAAACAAGACATAGATGGTTTCATGCTCCAGGAAAAACCAACAAAATCCTTCAAAAGAGGGTTAAGAAACTCAATGACAAAGACACAAAAGGAGAAACCAAAGGTTTAGAAGCATTACCAGTCACTAACATGAGGAGTAAAAGTCCAGCAACCTGCAATCCACATCAGTTGCATTTAGAAACCGAACTTTCATCGGAGAAAAGGGAATTAATTGGTTATTGAATTCATTCAACCAGCAGAGAATATCTAATTCACAGCAGAAGATTAGCATCTCGAAGCATGTAGCCTGATGAGGACAATAACTTGTACAACAATATGAGCATTAACCCAATGGAAAATCCAGAACTCACTCGTATCCACTTCATCACCCCCAAGGTGAACGAATCTGTACTTGAAGACCTTACTGAAATCTGCAATGAAGATTTTCAAATTGTTAAATTCCTTCTAGCCTTGGAAGAAAGTTAACATCATAAAGAGGTATTACCTGAGAGAATTGCATCTATAAGTTTGAAAGTAAAATCATTGCTAACATCAAGGGGCTGTGTGCAATTTTCTGACGGCCAAATTGAAGGATAACCAATACCCCTGGAAAATGAAAATTCATAGTTGTAAAGACTAAATTGCAGAAAAGCAGAAACAGAATGAAGAAAGAAGGCAACTGAGTGAAGTCTTAAATTTCAAAACAAGTCCCTAAATCATTGATAACACGCAAATGTTTCACCAAGAACATGTAAAATAAACTCCAGTTTCTTGAGCTTCGTGAACTAGGTCTAGGATTACCAATAAAACCCTCCACATCAAATTTAACCATATGCCCTCTATTGTGAAGATTAGATGTATCGATACCAAAAAGATGCTGAGCCTGCATGTTTCTCTGGTTTTACCTGCAGTAACTTTTCCAATGATCTTTCAACAAAAAGTCCAAAGCAAAAAAAAAAAAGTATGAAAATTTTAAATCTCTGTAGAATGAACAAGCACTCGAAACTAAAACTAGTCCAAAAAATTGAACTACTGCTTAGCTGTGGCATAGCAGGAATTATACAACTGGAATAACATCATCAGATAATTCTAAAAGACCTAAATAACGTGCTTGCTTATTTTTGAAATTCATCAAGTCCCATTAGCATGAAAAAGAAGATCATGAGTAAGTTGTAGCAGGGAAAGTGTTTTAAATTACCAAGACTCAGCATGCCCTGGCACATCAAGTTCAGCTAATACATGAATGCCTCGCCTTTGAGCATATCTGCAACATCAGAGCTCAGAAATTCAGAAAGATGAAGTAGTAAAAGATCTCACAAGACCTAAAAAGAAAACCAGGGAAGATATATAAGAATAACTTGCTTTACAATCTCAGCAGCTTCTGCCATAGTGTATCGTTCTGATCTAGAATAAGCACCATCCCACAATCTGGGATATGAAGGTATCTCAAGAGGAAAAGATTGCGTATCTACTATGTGCCAGTGCAGCACATTCTGCAGCACAGATAAGTACCATCAAATAGTATTAGTATCTGTTACTGACCAAATTATTTCTTCTGCAATCAACCTTCACATTCTTGGCAGCAGATGAGAGAGATGGTGTGTTTTTGAATTGCTATAATGAGACAAGGATACATTAGAATTTTCTTGTAAACATTTTCAGCTAAATATCTGGTTCCAAGGGGTACTGTGAAAGAACTTATGCATCCAACTCAAAACTATTTGGCTGTGAGTGGAGCAGTCTTTCTTATATCAAAGTCCTTGGGGATGTGGTACTTTGTCCCTCGCCGCCCCCTCTTACTCAACATTTGAGATAAATGAGAGCCTATGAAACTAAGGATACGGTTTATGATAATGATCGAGATAAAGAAACTAATAGGTCGACCCTTGGTTCGCACAGTCAAACTGAAATTGGTGTTTTACTTACCAACTTGGCATATGTCATAGAATCGATGACCTTCTTTATCACAGGCAATGGCAGAAAGTGCCTAGATGTGTCTGCAGAAGGTACCATTTAAGGCAGAAGATAAGCATTAGCATCTTGAACCATGATGTAGTGCTGAAATCCCGGAAAGAAACTAAAGCAATTATGAAAGTTTATGGATGATATCACTGCTTCAGATAACTTGATCAAATATGAAACTAAGCAATCAATGCAGAGTTCATGCTTGAGTACATGATCATGCTGAAAGAACCAACAAAAAGAAGAAACGTTAACTGAGGCATAATTACAACAACAGCAGGCACTCCATGGACCAACATCAAGCCACTACAAAATAGAAGGCAATCGTTGTACCTCCAGAAGAAGGTGGAGACATGGGCAATCCAAATGTTCCAATTAAAAGAGATAATAATTGTATTTGGACCAGCAGATTTCAATGGCAAGAATTTCCGACCACATTTGGGTCCTAAAAACTAGACTAATAATTTCCTGGAGGTCACCAAAATCTTACTGATCAATTCTCAGTTTGCCAAAGACCATCTTTAAAGTAGAAAACACTTTCATACCACTTAACAAGCTTAACTTGCTTGTCAATTCTTGGACAGAAAGGTTAAGATTGGGGGAAAAAGCATTACATTTCTACCTTTCTTCATCCCACGAAAACGTCAACCTGGGCTTCCTTTTCTTCAGATATTTTTTCAGAATGGACTTTAATATGCATTTAGGAACGTCTGAACCACCCACAGGTGTTCAGCTCCTCCCTACTTTACAATAGTTCCAAAGTGGCGATGTACTTGCTAGTGTGTGCTTGCATAAACAACATACTTCTTTTTCTTCTACTATGTGTTCCAACAAAGAAGAAGAAGAACAAAGAGCACATAGATGGATAATCATTTTATTTCTTTTAGTACAAAATGAAATGCCATTAAATAGCCGACTTAACCATGAACTGTAAGTCATCTCACCAATTAGAAGCCCTCGATAAGAAAACCTTGGTTGATCAAAAATGGTCCATGGAGCCTGATGAACTTCAATCACTCTGGTTTCAAATCCAAAATAGCAAAGTTGGCTGAATGTCTGTAGCAGAGTATTCCAAGTAAAAATTTTATGTCAGATAAGTTTGCTTCCTCCCCCCTCCCCCGGCCAACACCCCAAACAAAAAAAAGGGAAAAAGTCCTTTTTTAGCATCATGAGTGAAAAAAGGGTACCTGCAGTGCATGTAATGCCCCATAAACTGTTTGTGCCTGCATAAATACATAATATACAATTCACTATTTCTAAGGAAGAAAACTACAATCATGCTAAAATTCCACTGACTAGTCATATTTAAGCCTGAAAATCTGCAAATTTGTCATCTCATTTGAGCAAATAATCTTGTTTTCATTTTTTAAGCCTGCATTTGACGCAAAATTTTCTTGCAAAACCAGAATTCCATGCTATTGCGTCACCAACTTATGAGTGCAAGAGACTTCAGCGAAACTCACCTCAACATGTGCATAAATTGGATTACCATCAACGGGAACTGATAACCTGTACGTTTCATTGACTCCATGCTGCAACTGCATTCCAAACCATCCTATTTTAGTATCTAAGAACAGTGAAGTGAAAGAAAAACTAGAAGCAAATCACTCAATCTGCTGGACAAAACCTGCAGGAGAAGAGTTGCTTGCAATGAAGGATTTTATCATTTTATGGTAGATCAACACTGTGCTACACAATGTTAAGTTACAACGATTTTTGTTGTTTATATTGCACTCTGTAGTTCTTTTTTTCTTTCTTTTTTTTTTTAATGGATTTCACTCTATCCATCAGCCAAAGAGACAGAAAATATGCATTCTGGAAAATACTAGCAGCATGACAGTGGTCCATGTTAAAAGATACTTTCAACAGAAGAACTTTTAAAAAGCCATGACTGGACTAGAACATAAATATCAGCGAAACTTTATGCAGATATTTCTGCATACCTGAAATGTCCTCCTTTTCTACTTGATGCAGAACGCGTGAATCTTCTACTCGCCTAGCCTATTAGGGTTTCCTTCTGATTTATCATTAGGTTTTACTGATAGTCTACTCTTAGGAATTCAGTATCAGATGAGTAGCTTCTTTTGCATGGCACCATTATGGAGCCTCTGAGTCAAGACCTTCAGGGATGCTCTTAGAAGCAACCAAATCAACATATGCAACTTTTAAACCAGTCCTCGTAATGATACTCAAAAGGGAATTTTTTTTCTTTTTTTTTTTGACCTTCGAACCTCAAATGACTAGTTCATCTGACAGGAAAAGAATTAAAGAAAATTTACCTAAGGCTCTTATTGAATTAGCAGGGCTATTCAGATCAAAAAATATATATATATTGGTTTCTGATAACCTAGCACTAGAAAGTCATTTCTTAAAAGAAGATACCCAGACACACAGAAAGTTGTAACGAATGTCAAACTCATCAATTAGCAATGACCAGATAAAACGAAGTGGCAGCAATGAATAAAAGGAACTCTAAATAATAGATGATCTTTCTAACTCTTCTTGGTCCAATTGAATAAAAACAAAAGAGAGCCAAAAAAAAAGTTTTAAAGACTAAATGTTTCACCTCATCGCTTGGCGAAAGAATGACAACATGAATTCCCTTGATCACAAGATAGGAACCAAAACGGGGAGCATCTTCAATTACATGATCTCCTTTAATAATTTTAAGTATACTGGAGAAGCCATCCCTGAGAATTCCTGAAGCATCACTATACTTGCTTCCATCAGTCTTGAGCTCGAACTCATTGCTGAGATGAAGTGTATGTTGTCCATGGCTTACCGACACTGGCATTGGCCATATATACAAGTTCTTCTTCTGAGTATCAGCAACTGATATCACAAGAATATGGACCAACAAAAGCCCAAGAAAAATCCCTTTTCTCCCCATTACAGTATCTACCCCCTACAGAAAAAATGGAGCGAATTGAATGACCTGCAATTCACTTAAACCGTATGGACAAGAAAAGAATAAAGAAAAAGATTCAGTTCCAACCATCCATCCGACCTTCTTCATTTAAACTAGTCTGATGTATTAATTAACAGACAGTTCAAATTGTAAATTATAAGTTGCATTACCATCTAGAGGCCAAAAATCTGAATTTCTTGGAACAACAATCAGTTTATACCATGATATCAGCAAAAGTTAAATCATTAAAATGCCAAATCAGGAAGGGAAAGAATTCCAATATGTACCCTTCTGCAGTCATCACCCAATGCAGAAGAAAAAGCACAACAGACACACGTTACTTTCCTTAATTTTCCAAAAATGGCCTACCTCTTTGTCAGAGTCAGATTATAAAATGCAGGAAAGCTTCTGAACCAATGTTCTTGAAACCCCACTGCTGTTCAGTAATGGGGACAACAATGAGGAAGAAAAGAATCTGAAAATATCTACTGCACCTAAAGCATTGGATTGTGGAATTGATATGCTACGTTATATAGTTCAACAACCAAGAAAAATGAACTAGATGATGATGTAATCCTTATCTGTTCTGTTCTGTTAAAAAAACTTATAAATATATTGAGTGATGATTGTTGAAAACCATGATTAAGGTCCCATGAATGGACTTGCGTGTTTTGTGTGCCAAATTGGAGTGCTTGTCTGGTTGGATTTGCTGCAGAATAGAAACAAACGTTCGATGTTCTCTTTTGCCACTTTTTGGAACCCCTTAAATTAGTACGTGAAGTTTCTTTGTCCGCATTTAATTGGCCGGGATGGGAAATACCACTGATTCCTCCCGCCTTTATAACTTAACGGCCCACTTACTCCAATCCTGATGTCATCTTTTTAACCTTCTCCCACCATTGATTATTCAGGGCCTCATAACCATTCCCCTCCTTTGGTTCCCATCGAGTCTTTGAAAGCTCAAATTGGAATCAAAGGTGTGAAAATAGGTGATTTGGACGAGTTTAAAAGAATTATAATTGGTATAATTGAGCCAACTTATTTATACTTATTTAATAAATGAATCAAAATAAATCAATTCATTTATGCTCATCTAAAAAATAAATCTAAAAAATAAATATAGGGATACTCAATTACTCATTCATGACTTACTTAAAATTCTACTCTTTTTTTTTTTTTGCATGTTATTTGACAAGAAGTGACGACATTTTCTTGATTGCAAAATTTTAATTATTAAAATTAATCAAACAAAATTCAATTATGGGTATACTGTTTCCAACTTACATCATATTTCAATTTTGAGGCAAATTTTGTCACACTGTGACTAACTTGGTTCCCTTGTCTTCTATCAAAAGTAAAACTATAATCCTTTGAAGCCCTCCTTCATTTAGATAGCTCCCATCTCCACATTGTGAACTTTCTTGCTTGGAAAGGGATTTTTCACCAAAAACTCTCTACGTTTTCTGTGAACAGATTTTTCAATTATTTTTTTATCTCACATATATCATATCGCTACAATACTGTAGTTTCTACAAAAACTCCGAAAAATTACAATCCAAACAGGCACCTTACTCTAGTATATATTAGTAATAAATTACTAATACATAATTGAATTTGGGTTGGATAAATCTAATTGGAAGAGTCGAAACAAAAATCTTTAAGAGCAACAACTCCTACAAGATAGTGACGGCTATCCATCGGCAAGATTCTAACTAGTAGTTACAAAAGCTGTACCAGGCTTGAAATATACGCAAATTTTAGTACAACAATTCATGGATCGTTCTCTATTCTTGCAATGGGAACGTTGCTTTGTTTATACTACAGAATAAAGTGATACTATTAATCTTATTAATAAAGCAAGGGTCCATCAAGCAAGTACTCCATGAATACTTGTCAATGAGTTTTTCTAACAGATACCGTTGATCATTCGTTAATATACTTAAAATTAATTTTATTTATCCTCCCTTATATTTATTTATTATTTCTAATTAATCTTATATTTTAAAAAATATGATACCTGAAATATATCTTACCACGTGTCCAATGAGCACCCGTTAGACAAACAAAAAATAGAGCTCATACTAATTATTATAATTAAGTGATATACCAAACACTTTTTTTTTTTTTAGTGCCCATCACTTTTTACCCCCACCTTTGAGAACCTATTTACCCAAAATTAAATCAATAGCACATTTAAGAGTTGTGAAGAATTTAAAGATAACATAAAGTATAAATCACAAACAACCAATTGTAGAGTTTACACCTTCTTTTTTTTTTTTTTTTTTTCACTTAGGGGTATCCCAACGGTTGGGCTTGGGTTTTATTGCCACACCAACCTTTTGACCAAACAACCAATTGTAGAGTTTACGCCTTTTTTTTTTTTTTTTACTTAGGGGTATTTTAACTTTTTTATTAGACTAATCCTCTAAGATTGTGTAAATCTTTACCTAAAAAATATACAGCGAGATAATACATGAAAGTCAATCACGGGACCTCTTAATAACTATCAAGCTGCGATATATCAGTCGGACTACTCACGGGGCGTTTATGCCTTAATTATTCTCCATTAAAGTTGCTCGTCAAGTTCCCTTTCTTTCTTTCTTGGTGGGGATGCGGGTGAAATTGAAGCGGAACTACCAGTCCACATTAAAGAGGATATTTGATTGGTGGACTGTTTGGACAAGTTAAAATGAAATGAGGTAATAAGACAGACAAGTCAAAAAAATTGGGGGATGTACAGAAGAACTTCTGAACCTGTGATGATAATTCTTCATCCCATATTGGGCGAAAAATAAAACCAACTCCCTCTAAAGTAGTTGACTATTACTTTAATTGTAGGGGTGAGAGGTCAGGGGTGAGGGGTTCAAACTTGTCTTTAATTAATGTGCCTCAATATGAGATTTATTCTAAATTCATACAAGTGTGTGGTGCACTCGTCTGGTCTGATGATAGGTCAGTCTCCGTCAGGTTCCCCCGTTTTTTTTTACGACAAAAAAAAGAAGATATTGGACAAAAAATAAAGAGAAAAAGGTTTAATGGTGTGAATCTTCACATTTGTGCAAAACAATTGCATTTCGCTTAAGTGTCATTGGATGTGTTTCCAAATGGAGGCAAAATGTGCTTCTTTGACTAATTCCTGTCAATGCACACATTTTGGACTTTGTTTGGATGCTGCTAACAGCTCTTCTATTCTACCAAATAGAAGTCCATCTTTTACTTGACAACAACTTTGAAAGAAGCTACAATTTAGTACTCATCTATAAAATAGATTTTTCATCTAATAAATTTTAACAATCTTTAATACTACTATAACTTAAATCAGCAATAATAATTAGTTTTATTTATAGATTCTGATTATAAATAATCAAATTTTCTAATATTCTCATTTGCTTTTGTATTCAGATTATATATTTTTTTAATAGACAAAAAAAATTAAAATTCATAATCAAGCAAAGAGTAACTTTTGCGTATTCTAATTATTTACCATAATCACTGTCTATAATTAAATTTTATAAAATCTAAAACAAACAAGAACACGGACTATATATTACTATCAATTATCATTCGAAGAACTCAAGCAAAGAAGTGCTTTGCAAATAACATTACCCAAAAATGATTTTAGGGGTGTTCAAAATGATCAAAAGATCCAAAAATCCTTACCTTATGATTCACATTGATCCACTTTTTTGCGAATATCCCACTCGCCAAACTATATGTGGATCAAATACAAATCACAATTTTTGTGATCCCTATATATCTGATTTGATCTGATTATTTTTTTAAAAATTTTTAATTTATTTTGTACTAATATTATTTATTTATTTATTTTTCATTCCTATGTCTAAATTCTCATTCAATGATAGCTGTTCTAGATGTGGTGCTAAGTTTCTATGTGTGTGTGTATTGTCATAGAAATTGTCAGCAAATTTTTTAATTTTATTTTTTAAAATTGGTATACAACCCCTTTGTAAAAAGGAAAAAGAATAATAACAATGTTTTGTATTTTTCTTATACTGTCACTGTATATATTGACGAGATGGCCCAGATGGAATGAAAATCACATCATTTAAATTTAAATTTAAACATTAAATTTGACATGCATTCTCATCTTCTTCTTTTTTTCCCAGAGACGGCAATAAACACACACACCTAATTAGATTAGAAACACTCAAGAAGTCATCTCCAAATTGAGTCAGAGACTAATCTAAGAGGGACTCACAAACCAACACCATCCAGCCAATTGGTGACAGGAGATGCGGCTGGGGACCTTAAACCCATCTATTAATAATGTATATTCTTTTAAACCCATCTATTAATAATGTATATTCTTTTAAAGTCCACACTTATTAAAAAAAATATATATTACGTGGACGGCGGAGGTCGTTGACCAGCCTCCTTTGGCGCGACATTTGACCCTTCTCCCACAAAAATAAAGGCATAAATCCCATTATAGAAAACGCCCCCCAAAAAAAAAAAAATTTATTTTGACAACAGCGGTCCATTTTTGTATTTATCTTTTTTTTTCTGTGACGGCGAAACCCGAAGTTCCCGCTGTTACCATCCATTTCGGCCTCCAAAACGCCATTTCTCTAGATTTTAATTTTAGCGATGGACGGTCGGATCAAAGACGAAGACGGTGACGACTTAAACCCTTTCTTCACCACCAGTCCTCCTAGACCCACTGCCCAATCGCCTCCTCACTCATCCTTCTCGCAGAACTTTCCCTTTTCACCTCCCGATCACTTCCCCCAATACGGCGACGTCTTCACTGCTCCGCCGACCACCACTACTGCTAATTCCGACGGACTCATCCCCGTTGACGATGACGATGATGATCAGCCGACCTCCGCTTCCACTTCCCAAAATTACCAATGTGCCCCGAAGATATTTGACCGGTTTGACGACTCCTCCACTTCGTCCGACGACAATGACGAATTCTACTGCTCCGACGCCCAGCACGAAGCCGTCCGGAAGCGGCTCGATTACATGATGGACTACCTCGACCGGAAGCTCTCCATGTCCGCGGATCATCCTGCTGACGTCGGCAAGGTGGGTCAGTCTCAGAGTCCTGATCAGAGTCAGAGTCAGAGACATCCTCAGACTCGGCAGCCGCTCCCGGAGTTTATTGCCATGGGCGGTGGGACGGGGATATTCAAGCTTCCGGTGAGGTCTGCTGTGAATCCGGTCCGGCCCCCGAGCTTGGAGGTGCGTCCGCATCCGTTGAGGGAGAAGCAAATTGGGAGGTTTTTGAGGAATATTACGTGTATTGATGACGGGAGGCAAATGTTGGCTGGGTCGGAGTGCGGGATTCGGGCTTGGGATTTGGGGAATGTATATGGAGCTGGGGTGGCGAAAGGAGAGGTGGAGGAGGAGTTCGACGTCGATGAGGAATGGGGTGAACTTGAGGGGCTTGTGGAGGAGGATGCGGCGCCCTATGTTGAGTCTGTAAGGACGGTGGGAGCGCTGTGTGTTGTGGGAGATGATGGGAATAGATTGGTATGGAGTGGGCATAAAGATGGAAAAATTAGGTGTTGGAAAATGGATGGTATCAATAACAACAGTAGAGGTCGGTTTAAAGAAGGACTTTCTTGGCAGGCTCATCGTG